TGACGATGAGTGGATTATATTTTGGCTGCGTTCACTTTTCAGGTTTTTCTCTTTGAATAAAAAAATATTTTTAAGAGAATCTAATAATAATTGAAGAAAAACAATGAAGACAACTCACAGTTCCTGCACCTACATAGAGTTTTTCATATAGTGTGGGATGGGTCTGAGTCAAATGCGAAATTACATAACCATTAACATAGAAAAAAAATAGCACTAATCACTGGGAGTATCACAGTGGCCAACAAGATCAGTGGTCTTAGCAGTACGTGACACACTACTGCTGTCAAATACATATGAGGGTTTCCATTTGGATTCGGGCCAAGAGCTTACAAGTCGCCAAAGCCTGTTCAAATTGTGAGAAAGATACTTGCAATACACATCATAATGAACTGGTGTAAGTCATAATGTTCAAATGTGTGACTAATATGTCACGGTCACAGAGACACAAGAGAACCAGCTCACGCTCACCAAGATCAAAGGTTATCAGGGCAAAATTTGGAGAATTTCTTCTTTCTAACGGTTTGGGGAAAAACACTGCAACTAGACCTTGAAGAGGCGATGAGTGTTTTCAGAAAATATAACATTGTTCGTGTTAATATGTAACAACCTGCACTTAATAAAATAACTTTCAAGCATGAGTAATAATATCAAACACAATCTTTGGCCTTGAGGATTTATTTTCTACTAGCGAATGCAAGATTCAAGCAAACAAGGGATTTCATGCCAAAAAAGTCAAGTTTTTTGTGTTATTTTTTTTTTTTAAATGACTTATGATTGAACACCTTGTTTTATATCATGCCAATATGAATGTAATTTAATCTAAAATCTCTCTCCACAGGTAAATATAAAATTAAATGCATTTAAAAAATTTGTTGTTGGCCCTCCTTCTATGTTTTTGTCATCATCTATAGTATTTTACCAGACATCAGCTCATGTGCTGAATGTATAACAGACGGCTTGATATCAAGGAAACACGAGACCTGTAGAAATGCTGTAACCTTTAATCCTAACCTGAAGACAAACTCAACGTAAAGTGGCCTAACTAAGTGGGTAACTAATGTCCAGCCTCTCGTTCACAATAGAGCCTCATGACCACAATCGCACTGACATAAAATTATAAAATCACACACACACACACACACACACACACACACACACACACAAAAGCTTTAATCCTCACTAAAGTGTGACACTAAAATATCAATAATTACAGTTACTACATTTTTGCCTGTTATTTTTTTTAAATAATTACAGTTGAAGTCAGAATTATTAGCCCCCCTTGAACTTTTTTCTGTTTCAAATATTTCCCAAATGATGTTTAACAGAGCAAGGAAATTTTCACAGTATGTCTGATGATGTTTTTGCTTCTGGAGAAAGTCTTTTTGTATTATTTTTTATTATTAGAAATAAATTTGTATTATTTCGTCTAGAATAAAAGCAGTATTTAATTTTTAAAAATGATTAGCCCATTTAAGCTATATATTTTTTCAATAGTTTACACAGAACAAACCATCGTTATACAATAACTTGCCTAATTACTCTAACCTGCCTAGCTAACCAAGCTAAGACTTTAAATGTCACTTTAAGCTGTATAGAAGTGTCTTGAAAAATATCTAGTCAAGTATTATTTACTGTCATCATGGCAAAGATAAAATAAATCAGTTATTATAGATGAGTTATTAAAACTATTATGTTTACAAATGTGAAAATCTTCTCTCCATTAAACAAAAATTGGGGCTGATGATTCAGGGGGATTAATAATTCTGACTTTGAATGTAGTTTTTATTTATGTGAATGAAAAGACTGGGTGGATTCATTCAGCGGTCCAGTATTCAATTTTTGTTGTTGTGGCTGGACAAGTAGGCATATATGAGACCATTTCTGCTTTACATTCCTGATATACTTTTTTTGCTTTATATTATGATCATATTATGACAAAGATATGACTGATATATTATTTATTTTCAGAACAAATTATGTTTACAGACTTTAATGAATTACTTACATTTTAAAGTGAATGTGTGTGTGTGTGTGTGTGCGCAAGTCAGTAGTCAACTCTAACTTTTTTTTTCAATTTTACTATAAATAAAAAAATAAACATTATTTTAAAGTCTTTACAAAGTGCTCATATCATTATGTCCAGACTTCTCATGATCTTCCCTTGCTTGCCAAAAACCTCTTAAACAAACCTGGAATGGCTGGGCCTACATTAATTTACAGATATATATTATTTTGCAATAGCAACAATATTATTTGCAATAATGAGAGAATATTAAAAAGGCACTGCTTCTGAGGTTTATGGAAAAACATGTATATTTATGTTCAGTGGCACTAATACAATATGACAATAAAGAGAATAAGCGATCTAATTTACCCCCTCGTTTTGGTTTGTTTTTAGTAAAAATAAAATTGTAAGTAATAATAGCTTGCAGCATGCAGAAACTAAGCCTGCATTAATATTTTCATCTAAAATAACATAGGAAACATTAATTTACTATTTGGAAACACTGCCTCATTAGACAAATGAACTATAAACATGGAAAGTAATCTTCTTAGTTCATAAGTGTTTTTTTTTTTTTTTTATATGGGGTGTCGGGCTGCATCTTACACTTCTATATTTTGTTTTGTGAATATAATTTCACTGTATGATTTAAATAGCTCTATTCTGAAAGATTTCATCAATTTAGATTGACTGGGGTGATAAAGTTTTTTCCATGCAGTTCACCTGCATGAAATATGTATATTTTGCATATCAATTTACACATTGTAATATATATATATATATATATATATATATATATATATATATATATATATATATATATATATATATATATATATATATATATATATATAATATAACATATAAACATGACAAAGCAAAAATAAAAGTTAAACAATTCTGTATGGTTTTTTGGAGATTCTAACAGTATTTAAGTACAAAAATTTAACAATCAAACATAAAATAGCATGGTCATCATGTTATACAATAATATAAAAATAATATTTAATAATATCTGTCTTGTAATCTTTAATAAATAATCTTATCCTGCGATGTGACTATTGCGGATACACACATTGCGATATTGATGGTCAAATATAATATATTGTTCAACCCTAGTGGGGTGACTACATTAAATCATGAACATTTTGATTTATAATAACACAAACGTTTGAATAATAACAATAATATCAGAAATAAAATTTTAAAACATTGCTCAGAAACAAAAAAAACTTGCTGGTGGTATATTATTTATTGCGAAAACAACTGGCCATTAAGCTCTTACAGTACAAAATGCAGTGACTAGGCCTACAATAAACAACTGATATTGAAATTGGCAACAAAACACAATTATTATTATCAATCATTTTAGACATACTAAATTAATTATTGTTTCAAAAGCAAAACACTATTTCTGTATTTCAATAAATATTTGTAAGTAGTGTAACTAAAATCTGAAAAAAGTAATTACACTTTTCAAAAAATGTGACGATCGAACTCGTATTCAATGACTATGCCTATATTAACTCTAGGCAACCACGATTTTTTTTTTTAATAAATCACCCACAACTGCTTAACATAAAAAGCCATTCAGTGATCTTAAGTTTCAAATAAAAAACTATGAGAAAAATAATATTTTTAAATAATTCTTATAAAGTGCAATACAATGCAGTTAGGGAAGAAAAGTCCATTTAAAAGTGAATCAGGTCAGCACTATGCATATAGTGTGATAATTGAGGAGGGGAAGTCAACTCAAACGAAAACTTGGCCTCAAAGATTTTGATATAGAGGGAATGGACAACTCACACGGCAAAACAAAAAGTCTTGCTCATAATACACTCCAAAATCAAAATTGCATAAAAAATATAAAGTAGTTTGCAGTTTTTGTGTGCCTGTATGACTTAAAATATATTCAAAAATACTCTCTCTTATACTTGGCCAGTTTGCCTATGGCATGACTGTATGAAGAATTATCAATAAAATAAAGCATACAGAGGAAAAGAAAAGTCCGAGCACAATTTTGGCTCATTTGAATCTCCAGGTGCGGCACGCCCTCCATGAGACACCCAATACACACACAGCCTGAATGTGAGCAGAGAAACACACACCTCAGCAATTCTGCAACTGACATAGGCTTTTTCTCAACAGGCCTGCTTTTTCAATTCCACCCCCCACAGTTGTTCAAACGTTACTCTTACACCAGTTCAGAGCAAAAACTGCACACAAAAAAAAAGTTTTAAAAATGGAAACAACTGCCTCTGACAGAAAGTTTGAATAAATATATTCTTCAAGTAGTGCTGCTAAAAACTGATAATACAAGCTGCAAGTAAATTACTTAGACTGTACAAATGTGTGTTGTAGGCCAGGAAAGAATTAACGTTAGGTTATTTTTTAGAGCAAAACCCCGTGCGCAATTCCACTATCTTACATAACAAGGTGAAATTGCCATGCTTGCAACCATACTCTGCTGAACTCCAATTCACATCCAAGAAAAGCTGAATAGCAGGAATCAGACTTTCTCTAGCTGTTAGCAGACAACACGCGTCCTCTGCTCTAATAACTCCCTAACCAGAACCTTTTCTATTTATTTTAATAAATATTCCTACAAAACACAAAGACACATGACGTGTTATAATATTCATATTGTAAAGCAAGCCAGGATAAAGCTCTAACTTTACAAGACATGTCAGTTTTTTGAAAAGTTAAATAAGCTAAGTTAGTCGTCCCTTCAGTTTAGATGTAGCATATTGCATTGTGACGTCTCAATCTAGTTACATCGTGACAGCGTCAAGTCACCACGAACTATGAAACGCTTAAACTTTTCTTTAAACAAATAAATAAATAAGTAAATAAACAAGGGATTTCGTGTATGGACTGATAAAATGGCGCATTTCCCCTAAAAACAATACGCTTTTAAAGACAGTTTCACTAAAATGTGGTCTTTTAAAAAACACCATAAAATATATATTTATGACAAGCTCGATATTAAACACCTTACCGGTTGAAATGGCTGATGTTGTCCTCTATAATCTGAGCTCAGTATGTGATGCTTGACAGGCTCTCGGACTGAACTGTGTGTATCTGCGCCAGCAGCTCGTCCGTTACTCCCGCTCAAAAAGCGACGCGAAAAAACGCCAAAATGACACAATCTTCACTCACACCCCGCCGAATCCCGATCCCAAGACCCTGTGGTATTTTCCAGAATTTTTCTATATTTTTCCTGGCGTACAGCGATATTTTTATAGATTATTTTTCAAAATTTGCAGGTTTTCCCTTATGTACGCAGCTGAACGATAGCCCCCTTTTCTCCTTCGGCTCCACAATCCGTTTGCGCTGGTCACTTCTGAGAATGTCGACACTACCTCGTATGCGATTTTGATCTTTAAACGGTTTCCAAACCGTGCTGTTATCCCGAATCCGGATAATAAGTCTTATTTTTTAGGCGAAGCGTCGCGCGCACGGTCCCCCTCTCTGTCTCTCTGTGCGCGCGCTCAGTGTTGATGTTATCGCCGCTTACTCGAAAAATGGCGCTCTGCTCATTCAAATCTAAGAGCCGCCCACAGCTGCATGGGCATGCCGGGAACATTGACTTAGAGAGCGGTTTTGAAGGTGGGAGATAAAGAGATTTTACTGTAAGAAACGTTTTTTTCATCACCGTTAATATTACACGGAGCAATGGTATATTATTTAGAAACTGCTCGTTTAAAAACTCTCCGGTATTTGGAGCTGAACAATCCCGTGCGCGACTGTCAACTGAGAGAGGAAGCAGACTGATGTGAACATCAGAAGCCTCGAAAAATAAAAAGTAGCCCTCGGGTATAATGATGGTCATTTAAGCTATTTCGTCCAGTACTTCCCTGCCAGGTCCCTATAGAGAAACTTATGTAAGGTGTTCTTCTGTATACGCCCTATGCAAACTGATAGTTCAGCCTCAGTGGTGTTGTAAAATATCCATTCTGCTCAGAAAGAGAGGGAGATATGACCTGGTTTTTCCTCAGCAACTGCTTTGTGACACACTTGAACGCCCAAATCGTAATGCTGCCCACTTAAATCCACACACAGATACTCTGTATGAGATACCAACAGAAGAGTTAACCAGCTTCTTGTGTCTTGGGTGATTTGTTACAAACCAACATTGAAATGCAGATTTATTTGACTTGTTAAAGCTCTAATATTGCTGCATTACACTTAGTTCACCTTACTACCTCTTACTTACTCTACTACTACTTACTCTTACTGCCACTGCTCACTTACCTTTTCTTGGAAGTTTTGCTAGCTTTATAACCTGAACATATTAACTATCCACATTTCACAACTGTATATAATAGATGCCAACTTTGCCATGACTTTTTAGAAGTAGCCCATAGCTCTATAAATACCATAAAGCCAGGTAATTAATTAAAACACTAATAAAAGTGTCACTAAGCTAATACAGCATGGATTACCGCCACATACATGAGGCATGACACTTTGAAAGTGTATAATGACCAAATGTAATCTATTGTTAAGTACATCGTTAATATAATAAGCTATTTTCATAGGGAAATTGCTGACAACAAACGTACACCTATTTAAGCATGTTTGTTTTTTAAATACAGCGAATCTCTTGACTGCTTAATGATTTCTGAATTCAGGATTTCCTGTCATGGCTAGTGTATCATGTTGTATAAGGCAAGTAATGTTTGACAAAATGTTGTACTGAAGTTTAACAGTACTCTCTATACATATTCTGAATCTCTGATTCAAATTAAAGATTCTGCCTTCAATTTTCACCCCAAGCAATATTTAAAATACTCCAGGGATGCAACTTACATTCAACCAAATGACAGATAATTTTCTAATTTCATTAGCTCGTTCTATGAGTTTCTTGTTGTTGTGAGGAATGTCTTGCCTTTAACTGCTTTAACTTGAAGTTTTTGAATTGTAATTTGATCACAATTGTGTAACATCAAGGAGGATGGCAGTGTAAAAGATACAATTACTGGCACCCTTGTTGAAAAATTGCCGAGTCAGCAAAGTAGATAGGGCCCACTACAACTGTTTGATAGCTGAAAGCAGATACTGAAGTAGTTTGATACTGAAAGTTAAAATGTTGTGCTGTATTATGCAATAGCAGTTTATTCAGTCTCTTCATGAAATCCTTGACCTAATGGGTTACTTATTCATGTGTAATAAACTGACCATTAAGGAATTAATTACAAATCAAGCCACATGGTGCAGTAAACTGTGTATTATCAGATTCATAATTCTCCCAATTCAGCAATTAGCAACTTATAAGTAAGGACAAATACGTCTGCTGTGCCCTCAATGCACTCTTGCACCCTCCACTTGTCAAACATTTTTTTTGTAGGGGTGTGAAAATAGGGGCAGTTGTAAGGGGTGAACTTGAGTGTGTGTGTTTATGAAAGGGTTTTGTTCTCTCATTGAAGGGTCTCAGACCCCCACCCCACCCCAAAGCCATCTGAAGCAGCTGCACCCCTGTGATCTCTTTAGTAGGAGGGAGGGGGTGGGAGCATGTGAGGGGACGGCCCCCCCTTTTACAGAGGCCAGAGCCTACACACTTAAGTAACAACATCCATCAAAAGCCAATAGATGCCTGCAAGTCAAGTCTGAGAATACAACAGCAACCTTCGACCCCTGTTAAGTGGGCCGGCCTAACAAGACACAGCCACTGCCTCATGCTGGTTTGTTTAGTTTAACTTCATTTATTAGAGACCCAGTGCAGGAGAGATCTTGCTAAAGTTAATGGTGTCTGGTCGCAAGGCTTTACAATACAAAAAGCTTTCTAATTAAAGGTTTTATTCAATATTGCAAACGACTATCAAAACATGCACACAAAATAGGTCCTCAAAAGAGCTGACCTCAGCCCACATGTGTTAAAGGGCACCTATTTTATCCCTTTTTCAAGATTTAGGATAAGATACAGAAGGTGTTTGTAAAGTTTCAGCTCAAAACACCCATCAGATTATTTAATGTACCTTTCTGAATATTAAAATGTACTGCTCTGAACACTTTGTAGCAGTTTTTGTTGCTTGTGCCTTTTGATGCTAGTTCTTCCTGCACACCAATCCCATGTGCCTGTCAGTGTGTTTGTCAGATAAACAGCACAGTGACAGACATAAAGGAAGCAGATCTAATGTAACGTTTGTGAGAAATAATACAGTAATAACTTTCCCAATGATTATTTGATGTATTTGTTGTGGAGTTAATTCAAGCCTTTCTGCAATGATAAGTCACACACAATGTCATTACAAAACACAAACAGCTTGTGCTTTTAACTTTACACTGTTTTTGCACGGCAAATGTGACAGGATACACGTTAAAATACACTACTGTATGGATATCCGTTATGCTAATGTACAAAATAAACCTGCTTTAACGTCCTCAATCTGGGATTGAAGCGTCTTTTATAAGTGTACTGACATGCGGCTGTGGTGATAAAGACGGTAAAATCGCTGTAATTCATAACAAACATTCGCTGAACAGTTCTTTTAATCTCTGTTGCTTTGCGCTTATCCTGTCTTGTTGATATGATTATACGCGTTACTATGGAGAAATGTTAATAGGTGTCAATCATTTTGGTGGGCGGAGAAACCACACTCCTATGTCATGTTGCAGACAGCCTCAAAATGGGAGGGATTTGGATCAGTTTAACGTCAGGAATTAAAAAAAAAGACACTTATTGTGTTTATATCACCCCACTATGACTGTGGACACAATATACCAACACAGTTCTGTCCAAACAGCTCACAAAGGATGATTTTCATCACAGGTGCCGTTTAAAGGGCATGATTTCTACATTTTGTTTTTGGTGTAACAGCCTTTTGAATGTGAAAATGTTCATATAAATCCTAAACGAATGATGTGCACTAGCAACACAAATGTACTTTATACAATGAATGGTGTAGGATTGATTTTCATAAGTAGTATTTCTGTGTTAAAGCAATGTCTTTATTTAGTAGCAAGTCATTACATGATATTTCTTCAACCCTTTCTAATAAATGGCATGTCATTATCTATCATTATGAGCTTTTATGAAGAGTGCCGGCACAAAACCAAACATTTTGACTGGAGTTCATTCACAGATCAATGCCAAAATGCTCTCTGGATAGAACTCGTGTGTTTAAGTTCATGTCCTGCTTTAAGTCGTCCTGGTGACGTTTAATCATTTAAATGTGGCGAGCTTGCTTCACAATGCATCCACGAGACAACTGAGCCATTTACGATCTCTAAAGATTTCGTCAGTAAAGCGACCGGTCAAAATTGTAACCACTACTCTGCTTTGGCAGTGAAAGCGAGATGATTGCGCGGAGACCTACGGATACACAAAGACACAGCAGCCGCTTCAGCGGTACGAACTCAAAATCAACCGGAAGTCCCGCCCCCCCAGCAGCTTTAACTTCGATGATGTAACCCCTGTCCAAATTTAGAATGTTGTTGATGGCTCAGAAGTTTTTCCTCTGGCCGAGAGAGCTGTCTATCACCCGACGTCACGACTATCCTGTTATTATTGTAAACAGTCTACCCGTTCTTTTACTGTCGTCCTCCACCTCACGAAATTCTCCCCCGGTCCTTTGTTCGCAAAGTATCTGCTCGGCATTAACACAGGCATCGTTTGCTTGCAGAAATCAAACCCGCCTGTTCATACTCACTCATAAAGAAAGAGCAACATGTGAGAATATATCGGTTTTCACACACACACACACACACACACACACACACACACACACACACACACACACACACAACCCATCCTCGTATAATTTGGGAATGGAAGCGGAATGCAGCTTCAGTGTAGTTGACTATAATAAAAGCCGGCACTTCGCTGCTATAGCTTTCACTACAGCTTTTTGTGCTCGATGATGTATGTGTCGATCCGCTCTTTTGATGTGCTATTCAACCTCCGCGAATCAACGAAATTAATCGTGGAAAGTGTCATTGACATTAAGCGACTTCTACTTCAATCCCCCCCGCGAGAGCGCGTCCATCGCCTTTTGTTGGAAGCCTTCACCAAACACTAATAAACATTCATTCAAAGAACTAGCGCCTTTCTTTTCGGACATAATAATAATAATAATAACTGTGCGACCTGCTGTTTACCACCTCCGCGTAGCTATATTTTAGATAAGCCTGATAATGAATTGTAAACAACACGGCAACTTTCGTCCTCAGCCATTTAAATCGTAGAGCCAACGCAAGGGAAAGGCTCGGTGAATGGCAACTCAACAACAAAGCTTCGCTCCGTCGTATTTCCTCTTATGAACGAAGGGAGCGCGAGCGGAGCGATTGGCTACGGAAAAAAAGAAAAGGCAGGTTTATGATACTTACTTCAGGCTTGGAATAACCTGGGAAAGTGCAATTCCCTTTTAACGTGTACGTCGAGCCAATGGGGAGGATATTCCTGTAGAAAGCCGGACTCCTATCAGTGTGTCACTGAAGCCTCTATTATTGCAATTACGCCAAGCTTCAAGGAAGTTGTCCTTTTGTTCCAGCATTTATACATTGCGTCAATGTTGCGAAAAGAGGAGGAGGCGGAGCGGTGGCACTTGGAGTAAGAGAGAGAGAGAGAGAGAGAAAGAAGCGAGCAGCACACGACCTTATGTACACAAAACCCAGACCCTCCACCCTATAACAAAATCGACGGGATCAGATGAGATCACGTGTCCCCCCTCACTGTACAGCTCAACTCATACGGGGCAAGATGCGCGCTCGCTGGGGTGGGAAGCGCGAAGTGCCAGGCAAGTCTCCATCAGAGCGCTGCGATGACAAGCTCGAGCAGCTTATACAGTGACAGCGAAAGCGGATATCTTCATTATGTGTTTGTATGTGTGCTTGTTTAAATCTTTTAGCAGCACATTTATTCGCGTTTTGCAAAGATGTATCTGCTCCTTTTTGTTTGTTTGTTTGTTAAATTTTCTACAGTTGTTTCAGTAACGATCATCCAGTTGCAAATTCAGGTGAATCGCCTAATGGCATTGTGTATTTACAAACATCTTAAATGTGTTGTGCTGTATAAGTAGATTCAGTACATACATGTATATATGCATACGGTACAGTTTGTAATGAATTGGATTACTTTATGAAATGATGTATGCTTGTCCAACTGAATGAACCGGACCATTGCTTCAGTTACAGCAGAGTTGCATCACGGAGTTTGCTAGTCGCTTTTCGCTCCGCGGCCAATAAAGAGTCTAGAAGATACTCAATTAGATAACCAATTGTTATATATAAAATTGTACTTAACAAATATATCCACATGATTTAATCCAGATACAAGCCTAGTTGAAAACCGTACTCGTGAATGCTGACTTTGATGGCACTTTGATGACATCTCGTTCATTTGATGAAGGTTTACGCATTCTGCTCATGTTATAAAACCTATTTTACAAACATAACACACTTTATAAGCAGTTTTACTGGAAAGGATTTTAAAATCACACATCTAAGAGGCTATAACAGCTATGTTAGTGTAAGGGCCTGTTGAGTTCAGCTGAAGTGACCCTTTCCCAAAAACTTCATGCACCCCATCGGATCTTTTTTGCAGATGATGGTACATCTAAAGAGGTAAACGCTTAAACATTTGTGAACAGTGGAAATAAAACAAAGCAGATAATTCAATTACAATTGCAAGTGACATAATTTTTTAACCCAGAGGTCAGCATTTGACGTTGTCCACCATAACAACTGCCATTAAAAATGTCAAAAGTTTTAGTTATATATTGACTATTTTAGTGTCAATGTTTAAAACATGTAACCTGCATAATAATAATAATAAAAGTAATTTACAAAGCAATATAAGATTGTTTTTAATGGCGACCATAACCGGCTATTACTCGCACGAAAAGAGACGCACTTTGAAATGGAGAATGAAATATTTCATACTGGAGTGCAATATGAAATATCTGTAATTTAAGGTTATTATTTGAGCAATTTCTGCCTCTGTGAAAAAGGGCGAACTTTTCAGAGAGCAATCATCCTTTTTCCATTTAGTTTTTTAGAAGTTAATCTGAAAACAACAGCGGAACAGCCGTGTTCCTTTATGCAGATCATTTTAGTTTCTGGCGATTGGTATTTAAGACCTAAAAACAATAAACTGACGCGATGTCTCTTTGCTTTTAGAAACATAATTGAACTGTTTTTCAGACTCTATTTGCATTTGTTTCACAACAGAATCGAGGATCCCATTATTCATGTGCAATATTAAAATAGCTAACTATTTAAACTTCAGTGCAACAGGTTAAATAAACAGAGCATTTATTTGCGATCATACAAAGCAAAACATGTAAGAGTGTTTAAATAGCTTTTAATTCTTCATATTGCTTTGAGAAACATAAATGTTTGATTAAAACAATCTGGATGATTTCCGTGTTTTCAAATAATCAATAAAGAGTTGATTACGTGTTTTTAAAGCTTTGAGCTGACAATAAGGGGACGAAAAGGATCACACAAATGCGTATAATGTCAAATATAAGATAATAAGGAGAACCACGTATGCATGCAGTTTAGAATAAACCAAAACTACTGTTAATCTTAGTCACACATTTTAACAGGAATCTGTCGAGGAAATTGCAGGTGAAAATATACAGTAGCCTCTGATAAGATATTTGTTATTGTCATAACATTATTGACATGAATTCGTTTTGCGGATAGACATTATGACGTAAATGTGTCGTGTCTTTAGTATTTCTATGAAACTAAAACAATTATTTGCTTTAAAAAGACCAGTTTACATCAATTTGCCTATTGTATATCAGGGGATTAAAAGAATAACATGTCTTAAACATAGCTAATGATTTTCTTTTTTAATGCTTTATTTAAAAAAACATTTTAATACGGCTATTTACTATTAGCTATAACTGGAAGACAAGCGATTCATAAGAACTGAGTTGTTTCATAAGAACCAGCTTCAAACAGTCCAGTAGCTTTATATTGGTGTTCAAGAAAATCATGTTAATGAGAAGGGCTGAATGCATACGATGCTCGTCTCTGTGCGCAGTTGCATTAAGCTACTTGACGCGGATTTACGGGGAAATGTTTTAGCGTATGTTTGATATAGATTAAACGTATCCTGAAGTTTTGTTGCGGGATCTGAGCGCAAT